CCGTAGAAGGGCGAACGCGCTTGCGCAGAGACCAGCCTGCACTGTGGATTTTTGCTAATATGTAGGCTTACCCAGATTTTATACGATTCGTCAATTATTAATTCTTTTCGAATTGATTAAAATCATTGATTAATTAAGCTATGGCGATTAGGGTTGTCAGCTTGTTGCACTTAGTCGGTTAGAAATAAGAAATATTCCATTGCTAAAGTTTCAAGATTGCCTTTTCTGGCTGATCTGTTAAGAACATCTTCAATCAATGCATGTATGTATGTATGTATGTATGTACATATTGTGTATATAGGTAATTAAAAAGAGTGTTAGTATGAGCAAGTATCAGTGCCATTGTATACTGGTAGTCATTTAAGCATAACTAGCGTTACGTAATTGTTTTTTCCGAGTAACGAAGTGTGGCTGTTTGCTATTGTTTTAGGTTTTAAGTGAATGCGGTTAGACTGGATAGTCGAGCTTCTAAGCAGCGAATGATTATGAAACTTACGATTGGCTCTCGATTAACTTGAACACCTGTTAATCGAATTTTCGACTCGTACCGTAACGAGCGTCCGCGGGATCGTCGCACAGGCGCGTTAAGCGTAAAGTGATTGTAATATCCAAGCGAGAGACCTACGAATTTCGAGTTCAAAAATAAATCTACGATACATGTGTTATGATCACTCTTTGCTTGGCGATAAAATGATTAATTATTATACCCATTAATTGCAGGGAGTAATTTAATTGCTCTTGAGATCCGGAATTTTGCTGCTGTGACATCTAACGTCTTCGGTAAACTTGTAAAAAGGAATGAGCATGCACTATAGATACTCAGAACGATTCCTGACGTAGAACAGGCGTGCAGAATATAATTTTTTTTTAGATACAGAAGGAGACGATTATCTACTCGTTATGCAATATAATAAGCTAGAGTTTCTACTTATTTCTGAGACTTTTTGCTTTAATCCTAAATAGTGTTTCGTAAAAATATAGTATAAGAACATTTCTTTGTTTCCATCAAAGTAAAAAG